GTCTAGGTTGTAGTGTAAGTGGTCTTCAGGGCATAGTTGGCTAAATCCATGAAATTAGAAGTGTTGGTAGGAAGTCAAGAACCACTAATTTAGAGGAGTCCCTGGGTGTTGCAAATGGTTAAGTGCTGAACTACTAGTCAAAAGGTTAGAGGTTCAAACCCACCCAGAGGTGTCTCAGAAGACAAGCCTGGTGATGTGCTTCTAAAAAGTCAGAGGCTTAAAAACTATGGATCAGTTCTGCTCTGCACACAGGTGTCACCATCAGCTGGAATTAACTCAGCAGTAACTAACAACATGGTAAGCCATGTTGGCAACTGTAAAGTGTGTGTGTGTGTGTGTGTGTGTGTGTGTGTGTGTGTGTGTAGTATCTCTTGGTAATTTATGATTAATGATGATAACTAAATTTACTGATCACTTACTATGTTGAAGGCCCTGTGTTAAGCACCATAACATACCATCTTACTTAATCCTTCTGACAATCCTCTGAAGTAGATTCTATTATTATCCCCCATTTTACAGACAAAAAGACTGAGGCACAGAGAGGATATGTGACCAGCTCAGGGCCACTCGGGTCATAGTGGCAGAGCCAGGATTCTGTCTGACTTAGGGCTTAGACCTGTGACCCTAAGTCTCCCACCAGCTTTCATTTTAATAGAAGAAACAGATCATAAACCAAGTTATGACATACATATCTAAAAACATTTGTACCTTACGGTGAGATGTTGTTTCTAGATGCTATCAAGTCAGTTCCGACTCATAATGAGCTTGCATATGGAATCCCGATGAGCGCTGTAGGATAAGCACTGGACTGCTAACCACAAATCAGCAGTTTATATCCACCTCAGAAATGCTACATAGGGTTGCTATGAGTTGGAACCGACTGGACAGTGCTTAACAACATAAGGTTTCTGAGCCTATATATCTTTCTGGGAGCAGACAGTCTTATTTTTATCCCATGGAGCAGCTGCTGGGATTGAACAGCTGACATTGTGGTTAGTAGTCCAGTGCTTATCCTGCAGTGCCACCTTATGGGGAGTGGAAGGAGGAAAAGCAAAGGGAGCTGAGAATGAAGCAGATTGGTGTTCATTTTGTAGACCGCTCTATAGATGCCATTTGGTTCAGTGGCTGATAATATTTTTTCTATTTCCCTTCCCACATGTTCTTCTTACATTGTGACTTTGACATAAGACCACAGGTCTCCATCGAGACATGTGGTCATATGTTCCCTCCCCTCAGAACTGGGTGGACTTTCATAACAGCCTTGATCAATAGAATGGAACAGAATTGAAGCTGTGTACTTCCAATAAACAACCTTCTTATCAACGGGAGAAAAGATTGAAGTTGTCAAGGACTTCATACTTCTTGGATCAACCATCCACACTCATGGAAGCAGCAGTCAAGGAATCAGATGACGTATTGCATTAGGCAAATCTGCTGCACAAGACCTTTTTAAAGTGTTGAAGAGCAAAGATGTCAGCTTGAGGACTAAGGTACGCCTGACCCAAGCCATGGTATTTTCAATAACCTCATATGCATGTGAAAGCTGGACAGTGAATAAGGAAGACCGTAGAAGAATTGATGCCTTTGAGTTATGGCGTTGGAGGAGAATATTCAAAGTGTCATGGGCTGCCAGAAGAACCAATAGATCTGTGTTGGAAGAAGTGCAGCCAGAGTGCTCCTTGGAGCACTATCCACAGAAACCAGGATAGATAATAATGGTTATTGTTGCTTTTAAAGAGCCCTGATGGTGTAATGGGTTACACATTGGGTGCTAACCACCACGTCAGCAGTTGGATTCCACCAGCTGCTCCCCAGGGAAAAGATGAGACTTGCTGCTCCCATAAAGATTTACAGCCTCAAAAACCCTATGCGGAGTCACTGTGAGTCCGAACCTACTAGACCGCATATAGCAGCATTGTCATTTTAAGGCACACAAAGTCTTGAGGTAATTTGTTATGCAACAATAGATAATGAACATTATCTGCTCATATCAAAGCAAGAAGAATTAGAGGAAGCGCTGGGGGCACAGTGGTTAAGTTCTCCCTTGCTAACCAGAAAGTTACAGGTTCAAATCTACCAGCTGCTCTGCAGGAGAAAGATGTGACAGTCTGTTCTCTTAGGGACAGTTCTACTCTTTCCTATAAGGGTCGCTGTGAGTCAGAATCTACTCAGTGGCAGTGGGTTTGATATTTGTTTTTAAACAAACTAGTGTATTTCTGGTTCTCATTGGAGTCTGGAATAGGCAATGCAGGGATGTTACAGACGCTCCCATGGTATGATCATAAGTCTAGTGTTTTTTTTTTATCTTCATGCTCTGCTGTCCTGGTCCCATGGCTACCATTCTCAAGTCACCTCCCGTCCCAAAATAGTTGCTGAAGCTGCAACTATCACAACTACATCCAGGATTGAATGTAGAATGAAGCAGAGAGCACAAAAATGCTTTTCACCAGTTATATTCCTATTTTAAGAAGCATTCCTGAAATCCCTTCTAACACTTTCTGCTTATAGCTTATGTCCTAGAATTCGGTCACACCATATGTAGGATAAGCACTGGACCACAAGGTCAGTTTGAACTGCAAGGTTGGTGGTTCTAACCCACCAGCTGCTCCTTGGAAGCCCTATACAGGGTGGGGATGAGTTGGAACTGATTTGACAGCACTTAAAGGAGCTCTGGTAGCGTAGTGGTTACGAATAGGGCTGCGAACCTTAAGGTCAGCGGTTCGAAATCCACGGGAGTAAGATGAGGCTTTCTACTCCCGTAAAGATTTACACCCTCGGAAACCCTTGACAGGGTCGCTATGGGTCGAAACTGACTCGACGGCACTTAACAACAACAACAACAACAGCACATGTGGCAGGGACACTGTACATGTTCACTGGGGTTCACTGTCATCTCAAGAGAAAAAGACTAAACAAAACTGGAGCTCTGTTATGGACAAAAAAAGGGAGTGATTAGTGGTCAGTTGGTGCCTGCGTGGTTACAGTGGAATGATGGCACAGGGAAATCGTCCCTGTGGGAAGAAGCTAAAGTCAGCACACTGACCCCTTCATGATTTCAGTATTTTCTACCAAAATTGCTTCTGAAACAAAGAAAGCTCTGGTCTCTAGCCCCACCTACCCCATATGATCAGCAGGCAGTTGGATTTTTGTTGACTATCCTAACATTCAACCCTGACTATATCACTGCCCTGCTCAAACACGTTCCATGGCTCCAGTTTGCCACAGTTTAAGGACAAATTCTGGGTTTGGTCTGGAAGGCATCAGACAAAGCTCCCGTAACTACGGCTGTGCTTCACATCCTCTGCCTCCAGACCTTTGCTCAGGCAGTCTCTGAAACCCCATCTATTCTCACACCCTCCCAAGACCATCTCTAGTCCTTACTGCACAAATTAGAAGACATGCCCTTACTCCAGGGAATGCAGTGCGCCCGGCATTGGAGAGTAAAACACATGCTGTGGTCTACTACATTTGCTCCTCAACCTAGTACCCTTGAGCTCTGAATGCCCTGCACTAATGTACATGGGTTAATGCCACCTCCAGGATCTTCTCTGGCCTCCTTGCATCTCCATGCCAGCCTGCCTTGATTTGGGGCTGTATTTCTGGCTCTGTGTTCTCTAATCCCCGGGGTCCTATCTCCCCAGATGGATACTACCAACAGTCATCCAGGGACTGAATGTGTGCCACTGTGTAGACCAGTCATCATTATATCCTTGGTCCTTAGCACTCCCAGCAGCAGCAAGTCCCCCAGAGAACTGGAGAAGGACAATGCCTTAGGAATGACCTAGGTCCAGGCATCAGAGTGAGGAATGGAGTTAGCAGCTTTTTGCTCAGAGATATTCAAACCTGAGCTTCAAAAGTCCCTGGACTGGCAGAGCGAGTACTCTCAGCTTACTCTGGTCCTGGGAACACTGGAATACCATCAGGCATTCCTCCCGGAATTCAGTACGGTGGCCCAGGCCCAGGTGACCATGGTGGATTTGGCCTTCAGGAACACAGAGCACACTTTCCATTTCATACCTTTTATTGTATCTGTAGCTTCTCTGCCTTCTCCCTCCCCCACCAGCCCCTGAGAGGGGTGGATGCCCCAGTTGGAAGGGAAGGGATTATTCACTCCTCCCTGGGGTTGAGGCTGGGCCCCTTGGCTGCTCTGTGGCCCGGGGGCAGGGGCATTTGGAATGTGAAGAGCAGAAAAGCCTAGGACTGATGAGAAGACAGAGATCAAAATGTGTACGGTGTGTGCGTAAGTAAGTGATGGCGCAGAAGGGGACCTCAGGTGGACAAGCTGAGGGGAGATGGGGTGGTGGGACAGGGGGCCCTGAGAAGGAGCCCAGGCTGTAGGCGGGATTGCATGTGGGGGTAGAGTAAGCAGCAGAGAAAACGGTGGTGGTAGGGGGAAAGGTTGTGCTCCAAGAATCTGGCTCCCAATTGGGGGTGCCGTAACTGTAGGGTCTGATAAGAACTGTCTCTGAGGGGGCAAGCAGGGAAAGGTGTGTCAGGGGAGGAGCCTGGGCACTTTGGTGGGTTAGTGGGCCCATCACTAGCTGTTCAGCTTCAGGGAGGCCAGCCCAGCTCAGCCTGGCCCCAAACCACCAATTTGTGCTTCTGGGTTGCTCGAGGGCTCAGCTACTGCAGGCAAGAGCCCACACGCAGCCCTCTGGTGCAGACCACAGCTGTCCCCAGGACTCCTTTCCCATCCTAAGCCTTCTGGAAGCTTCCTCCATTGTCCAGTGTGAGTGACCCTCATACCAGATGATCGGCCATCAGGGAGGTGGGATATGGGGGTGGTGGAGGAAGTCACTCCAGGGATGGTTCATAGACTCAACTGAGGGGCCGTTCACCCCCAGCAATGACCTGTGTAAGGACCCCCACCCCAACCCACGTTCATGGCTGACCAGTCTCTCTCCTGTTTTGGATAACAATTACTCAGGCATCTAAACCCATGGTGGGATGGTGGGAAGGAACCACTCTGAGGGCCGGGGGGTTAGGGGGGTTGGGGGGTGTCAGAGTGCCCCCTGTCCGTCCCCCTGGCAGCCGCTGTCACCATGGACAATGAGCACCGGGAAGTAAAGGGCGTCCTCATAGCATGGGGGACTTTCCAGGGGCTCTGTGTCCTCTCCACGGCGCCCCAGAGGCCCCCCACTCAGGCTGCGGAAGACCCCTGGTGTGGCCCGGCCCCCGGCTCCCAGCGAGAGGCGGCTGCGGCTGAAGGGCAGGCGGGGCCCGCTGGGTCGGGCTGGGGGCAGCGAGTTGCTGCTGACTGAGCGGCGGCAGCGCTGGCAGCCTCGGAGGTAGGCCCCTGAGCCAGCACTCATGACCACAGCCTCAGAGTAGCTGGGCACCAGCTGGCGGTTGGAACAGATGTGCCACTCGAGCTCAGTGAAGTCCACTGTGGCCACGCGGGAGAGTGGGGGCCCACTGGGCACTGCCCCAGGAGGTGGGGAGCTGGCCCCAAAGAGCTTCTCCACCTGGTAATGCACGTGGGCTGTGCCATAGGCTGCCACCACCCGCAGGGGCCAGGACAGTGTGGCAGCGGACACGAGCCAGAAGACCCAGGCGCGGGCATACCAGGGGGGGCTGCGGGGATCAGCGAAGACCATGAGGGAATCGCGGAAGTCCACATCCTTCAGGTGCATGCCCTCGCGGGCCTCTAGGTAGTCGTCCAGGCCCTCGTTGGCTCCGAAGAAGCGGGCCCTCTGCGTGAGGTATGATGCCTCCGCCTCAGCGCTGCCAAAACTGAAACACTTGGTGAAGCGCAGCCGTGTGGCTGCGTGCTCGGCCAGGCCCACCAGCTCCTTGGAGACGTCGCGGACCCCGTGGGCTGAGTAGTCGAACTCGCCACGCGCCGTGCGGCTGTCGGCCCGCTCGTGGTAGACCTGTGTGGTGGTGTAGGCATCGCCGTTCCGGTAGCGTGTGATCTGGCGTGTGCGGCGAACATAGTGGTAGCTGGTGGCCTTCCACCAGACGCATGGAGGAGCGTGCTGCAGCCGCTGGATCAAGGCAAGCACGGTGCTGGCGTCCGTGCGGGGTGCCTGGCAGGAGCGCACGTGGCAGTGCCAACACTCAGCCAGATAGAGGAGGTAGAGGAGGGAAACGAAGGCCAGCGGGATGTACAGGTAGCCATCGGAGCATGGACTAGCTGGGTAGGTGGGCGGCGGGCCCCCGGCTCCACGGGCCAGGGCAGCCTCGGGGCCCAGGACCAGCCGTGGCACAGTGGCCAGGCGGCACCAGGCCACCACTGCACCGCAAGCGTGGATGAGCAGTGTGAGCAACAGGCATTTCCAGTGTGACTCTCGGCACAGAGAGCCCCCCAGGGATGGTTTCAGGGGTCGCTGCTGCAGGAAATCAGAGGGGAGGTTGCGTTAACACAGGAGTCTATGACTCCCTGCCTTCTAACGGAGGAAACAGGCTCTGAAGGATTCCATTTCTGGCTAACTCAGAAGAGAGTTTCCGAATTCATTCCCAGATCCAGGTCCCTCTGTCCCTGGAACCTACCGCCTTTGCATTGTTCTTTCTTGTCCTCCACTAAGGGTACCTGTCCTCCACTAAGGGTACCTGGATACCCAAACCCATCTCTGTGAGGATAGGGAAGGACTCCAGACTGGCACAGAAAAACCTGTCTTCTAGTCCCAGCTCTGTCCCTGCCCTTGCTGAGTCTTGATTCCTATTCCTGGTGATCTGGGGCCATGGTGGCAAGGGTCCAGGGGTGAACACATGGGATTTGGAACCCAACTGCCCAGGATCCAGTACTGATTCCACCACTTACTATGTGGCAGGGGCAGGTCCCTCATCCTGTCTGGGCCTCAATTTCCTCATCTGTAAACTGGGGTTGTTGTGAGGATTCAAGGAGATCCTACATGTGAAGATCTTAGCACAGGGTGTGGCCATGGGAATAAATATTATCACTGTTATCCTCTTATCCCCGCTGGTCCCTTGGATCCACTAGAGATGGCAGGAGACTCAGGAGAGACTTTTAAGTAGTGGGAAAGAGGAAGAGCTGGGAGCTTTGGGGTGAGGCGTGAGTCTTAGAGTGTGGGGAGCAGATGGAGGGCCATCTTCCACTCCCCATCTGCTCAGAGGGAGAGGGTAGGATAGACAGTTACTAGGTGTCAGGGGCCACTTGTTGGTCCTGAAGGCCTGACCCATCTCTGCTGGCAGAGCTGCCAACATGGCCCCCACGTCCCCCCTAGCTGCCCATGGAAAGAGAAGAAGGTAAGAAAGAAGTAGGGAAAGGTGAGGAAGGGAAAGGTGAGGAAAGGAAGAGGAAGTCAAATGAAAACAGCAAAGGTAGGATAAGGGGCCACCTATTTGGTCCTAGTCCTACCAGGTCTTGAGAGGCCCAAGAGGAGAGGAGGAGAGGAACTACTTACAGCCCCAGCCCAGTCCAGTCTAGGGGGATCGATAGCCACTCCCACACAACAATGCACGTACCACAGGGGCATACAGCCACCTGGACCCCATACCAGTTACACACAAACCCACTCATCAGATACCCCCAAACATGAACCACTGCAGGAGGACCACCTGCCTGTTTATCCAAGATAGAAAACATATTGAACCTGCACCTGTCCACAGGGCACACACACATACATGTGCACACACACATATACTACAGGGCATGTGTGCACATATATATTACACATTAACTGAAGCCCAGAGACATGCCAGACCCTCACCTAACCACAGTGCACTCCCCCACCACAACTACCACACTCCAACCCCACCAGATAGCCTTCTTTCTGGGGACCCACCCACACCATGCACACACAACATTGCTGATGCATCCAAATTGAGGAGCTCTTCAGACCCTCAGCAGCTACACTGCATACATGTCCACACAGGTGTAAGGAATACACACCCTAAGTCACACTCACAACAACACACAAACATGCTACCTCCCCCCAGTCACGTGTACAGGCCCACTCCCAACCTGGTCACCCACAGTACCCCACCCAAGGCCTAGCACACCTGCAGGTCCTTCTTGGCTAGGGCTGGGGAGGGACCACCTGGGGTCCAGGTCTTTGTGATGGACCCCAGGCCTTGCTGTGTGGATGGGGTGGTAGTAATGGTGGTGGTGAGGGAAGAGGGGGTACCAGAGGCACCTCCCTTCCTGATCCCCTCCTCCCTCCTGCCCCCCCTCCAGTCATTGCTGCCTCTGCTGCAATGCAGGCGTCGCCTGGCACCTCGTGAGCAGCAGGACCGGGCTGAAGGCCTGACCCAGGGTTTGGGGGTGATGACTGGGTCACATTGTGAAATAGGGATGTGGGGGGCGGGAGGGAAAGAGGGAGGCAGGCACTGACGTCACAGGGTGGGCGAAACAGGAGGAAGGGGCACCGGGGGCAGAGTCGTTCCCCATTCTTGCGCAGCTACCCCACCCCTGTCTCCACGCAGACCCTTGGGTCCCAGGACCCCCAGGCAGGACTCAGGATTACCCCGATGACGTCACCGGCCATAGGGGCGCCAATTGGGCCTCCCCTCCGCAGGCCTCTCCAGGGATTGACCCTCGCCCTTACTCTCCCCGGCCCGGCCCGGCTCCAGCCCCTCTACCCACGCCGGTACCTCCTCGCGCAGCGGTTCGCCGTCCAGGATGAGTGCGGGCGCTTCCCCGCCGTCGCCACCCTCGGGCATGGTGTCCTGACTGCGTCGGCGATCACTGCCCGGGCCCGGGGCATGATAGGGGTGCGAAGGGCTGCGGCGCGGCCCCGGGCGTTCACTCGGCTAGGCGGCCGGGAAGGAGTGCGCCCAGCCGAGCCCGAGC